TACATTCAGATCACTGCCTGTGGGGATGTAAAAATTCATGATCTATTGGAGGAAAGGAGAGAATTGTCCTGAAAAGCCTAAAGAAATGTCGTAGATCAATCGGTAGGAAGGGTTAGAGGTTAGCATGCATTGCATCTCTAAAGAAAATATTTTTGTCATCTCTTGGAAAAGGGAATATTTGGAAGCCCAAGCATATACTTGAGTTTACATGCAGTCTACACTATAACAATACGCATTTCATCTCTAAAGAAAATATTTTTGTCATCTCTTGGAAAAGGGAATATTTGGAAGCCCAAGCATATACGTAAGTTTACATGCAGTCTACACTATAACAATAATATGTATTTTCTCTCGTTATTCAAAGATCAAGCAATGTACAAATGTTTAAACGTTGAACACAATAACTGCCATTCCTCAGAGAGTTGAATTACATGTAGCCTTTAAAGGGAAATACAACCCTAATAGCAGACTATTCTGATAGAAAGTACAAATATCAGAGCAGTAGACTGATGAAAGTGACTATTCTAGCACATACAGTCAAATCTGCTTTGACCAGTACCACCTGTCTACAAAGACCACATTGTTTAAAGGAACATGTACATAAAGACCACTTGTCTTGTCTCCCCTGGGTGGTCTTTATAGACAGGTTCCACTGTAGTAGAAAGTAAGTGTCAAGCTATCTTTCATTCGGTAGCTACAATGTCTATTGTATTCTTAGAACTACGACATGTATGTCATAAACATGTACTTGACAGTTGACACTGATCATCAACAGACTACCAATGACCAGCATCTATCGACCAAAGTGATTTCATATATTCCACAAAAGTGAAACCTGTGTAATATGTCTTGAGTGGTCAAACAAAGTAATATCATTCCATCTAAAGTGGCATAATTAAATAATGGAGAGGCAATTTAGATAGATAATAGATACTCAAGAAACTTCTGAAGTTACAATACAAAATTATGATACATACATGTACATGTTATTAATTACATGTCACATAAAGAGAACATTAAATATCAAGTGCTTTCCACTCAATACAGAGCAAGTGACAGTATTCACAACTACATGTATGTGCAAAATCATGTATGCAAGAAATTTGTTTGAAATCATCTCACGAACATTAACTTACAAACCTTAAACATAATTTTTTTCTTCTCAATAACAAAAGAGGAGGGAAATGATTATTTTTCTCCCAAGTTATACATTGCATCCATGGACTAATGTACACTGCTCTTTCCTAAGATGTATTTGTAGATGTAGACGTCTACACCATGGATAATATCTCAGAAGGACATGGGAATCTTTAATCACATTGTGACCTTTCTGATAAAAGACCCTTCCTGATAAAAGACTACACAAACATATATTACTACCAAGTACCAACTGAATGAAATGATTGGATTATTGTATTACTTCCAACTGAACTGAATGAAAGGATTAATTTATTCATAACATATTTTAATCAAAATTATGCTCTTTTACATGAAAGAAAAAAAAAATGTCTATGTGGGTTACGGTGCTGCCTAAGTTCTGAGTAAAGTTTGACACATCCTCCCACATTTTTCTTTCTCCGAACCCAACCCAGCAAACATTCTTTTATTTATGACTTTGACCCCTACTCCTGAAGGTCGTGGCAGAATCCAAGTGCACAATCATCAAGGGGGTGAAAAGGTGAACCCCCTCAGGTGGAATGGCAACCCCCCTGTATTACAAATGGAATTTCCCGGGGGAGGGAAGTGTCACATTACGTTCACTTCAAGCAATAAAGTGTCAGAATTAATCTTTCCACAAGTAAGGCCCACTTTGCCACCCTTTGGCTAATTGATTTTATTATGAAATGTGACGTTTTCAAGATTTAGGGCAAATATGAAATTGGAAAACAGGATTCGATTCATTTCACTGTGCTTTGTTATTGTTGTCATATATCATGCTAGAGGGGAAGTGAAAGTGTTACCGACCCGACCCACCCCCTTCAAAATTCATGTCAACATATTTTGAATTATTGAAGCTTTGTTAGCAAATCAAATCAAAACAAAAATAAGAACTAGGTTTAATCCTCATTGGTATACTAACAAATCCGAGACCCCCCCCCCCCCAACCCCTTTAAAGTTCTAGTCAGCCTATTTTCAAATATTGAAGCTTTGTTAGCAACTAAAAATAAAAATGAGGCCTTGGGTTTATCCCACCAGCATATTTACAAATCTTAGAACTGTTTGTGCTAGCTTTGTTGGAAACTTGCTGGCTAACATACTAGCCCCTACAGTGAACAAAAATACACGGGGGCTCAGGGCGAAATAGCCCCCGAAATGCCCAAAAGAGCCTCCGAAAATCAGAAAAAAGCCCCCGAAAAATAAATATTATTTTTTTCCCTGAGCCCCTACCCACCCCCCCCCCCCCCCCCACCAGAAAAATACAAAGGACATGGCACCTCCCTGATTAAAAGAAGCAAATTAGTGGAATGAATTTTACTCTAGATCATGAAATTGGACCATCAGGATGGTTTACACTCAGTATTTCCATGTTTGTCTATAATTTCATTTTCCACGAAAGCAGGATCTCCACCTCAATGAATCAATATCACTTTCCAGGTCAACGGACAATTCTAAAATAACAGTTATATCAATATCATTCATTCTGGTCATGCGGGCAATTCAAACAGAAAAGTAATTTCAATATCACAGCTTCTAGGCTATAGTTTTTCCAGGGCATGAGGTCTTAATACTGATCATGTATTCATTGATTATGTATTCCATATTTTTTCACACTCATTATTATCTGAGGGAGGGGTCCACAATTTACAAGCTCTGCTTTTCAGTGGACCTCTCCATTTCCTCAAAATATAAACGCAGTTAAAGTTTAAAAATTCATTTTTTTGTCTTCCCAAAATGTATAAATTATTATTAAGATTTGTTTATTACAAATGTAACTATGTTTTGTATACATTTTACATTGTACAAAGACATTTTCTCATATTTATTTTAATTGGCCTATATATCTTATTGCTTGTTTTTAACCAATAATATCCATACCACTCCTACATGTATATATATACAAGCCCATTTACAATGCAGAACAAATGGATTAGAATAAACAGTTTTTGAAATATTGGAAAAACCCATAAAAAACATAGGTGTTTACATATTCTGTTTTTGTTTTGTTGGTGAGATGTGCGCTGAAATACGGAATAGCACAGAATAGTTTACATTGCAAAAAAACAGACAGTGGAGTGTTGGCTGGCATTAAAAAAAAATAACACTTGAGAAGTGAGTTTTTTTGTTATGTTCATGGGTAGTTGCCTTGCAACTTCTGACAAAAACTATGGAATGTTAAAAAACCCGATAGTTTTTGCTTGAAGTGCAGCTTTAGTAATGTAATGTCATACAAGGTATCAAATGAAAAGGAAAGAAAAGATAACCATTTGCTGGCCGATGGCTTCTACTATATAAATGTCAATTAAGTTGATTGGCCTTTGCTTTCCTTTAGAAATACTTCTGACCCTTATTGCAGACAATGAAGGAAATGGACAGAAAGAGAGAAATACCTGCTGAGGAAACAGGTACAAACGTGATCGCAGAGACTTTCACAAAATAAACAAATGCAATCTCAATAACCTTGTACATGTATGTCACCTTGTATATTGTGTGAACATTACAAAGAAATATTATACATGTATAATGTAATGATATGATTTATACAGGCCAAACAATTAATAAGCTATTGAAATTAATGCAGTTGATTTCTTGAAATTCTTTGCGATCAGGTTACAGTAGTCTGAGAGATATTGAATTAACTTCGCAAGTTTTTTGTTCGGTATTCTGTCATGTCAGACAACTCAGTATGTCACGCTCAGTGCATGTGACATGAGAGCCACCAGCAGTAGTTGATGAACAATGATTTCAAGGCACTTGAAAATCCGAAGGGGGTCCCCCTACCCCCTAGTGAGAATGGTATGAACCGTGGGAGACGGATGAACCCATCACTGTCAAACATGATGTAGGGTTGGGGTGTACAAGATGTATATGCAGCTTGCAGGTACTAGTAGTCTACAGGCACAGACTCTATCTAATTTCACACTTGACTACAATTCTTAAAGTTTTGAGCAGAGCCTAGCTACATGTATGTCAATCTTTGGCTGTGTTTGGGTGGAGCAGCTACAGTACAGAGCATATACAGTGTGCTGTCAGTCTATCTATCAGTCTCACAGTGCAGACCTTATTACACACATCATGCGACTGACAAGGATTTGTGCTTGCAAACTAGCTTGCAAGGAAATGTTGTTGGGTCTGAATTGGGTCTGAACCAATAGACTGTGTAAAATGTTTTATTCTGGGGTGGGGGTTGGGGGTGGTTCGATAGGTTTCACCCAAAACAAATTGTCTGTGTTTTTAAGACAATACATAATGTAAAGTCGGAAAACTGTCGCAAAATGTATTAACCTCATTTAAATTGGATCGCAGTATAATGGGCAAGCTAAAGTCAATAATGAGCAATCTACGGTCAATTCCTTAATTTCTTTATGCACCAGTCTTCAATGCTCATAATAAAAAACTAAGAAATGAAGTATTAAACCAAAATGGGGATGATCAAGAACTAAGTAAACATCGGCCATAAGTTCGCCCAACGAGTACCATTTAAAACTCCTTGGCCTGCCTCACCTTGCAACAATCTCATATCACAGCAGTAGCAACCCCACCCCAAAGCAAAGCAAATATTTTGAAGTACATATCGAGGGGTCAGTGACACAAAGACGTAACTCCATTTTGGCCATTTTGAGAAAAAGTGGTTTACCGGTAGGTGTCACTGAGCACTTTACTTTAATGGGGTGTTGGGTGGAATTAAGTCTTTGTGTTGTTTCCTGGAAAGCCCACATTTTTCTGAACATTTTGATATCAAATACTCATTTTGGCAAAATATGGAGTTGCGTCTTTGTGTCACTGAACCCTTGATATGTACAAAGATTAATATGATATACAGTACGCTGTATTTGACTCACCGGTCGTATCAAAGGGAACTTGTTCGCATGGGCCGCTGCCGCTGAGAGGGGTGACGGGACACTTATAAACAGCGCCGCCATTGGTCACCCCGGGCTGGCTCGTAGGGGCCTCTGGCGCTCCTATTAAAACCCTGCAAGTAGAAAAGGAAACAATAATTAATAAATCTTTCTTACAATTATAACCATTACGCATACTCCCACCGTTTTCACATAAATAACAAACGCAATAACAAATCATGACTATTATTATAATAGTAATGATGAGGAAAAGATTGTTGTATTAAAAGTAAAAAGAGACCAAAAAATCCATGCTGAGTTGTCTACTGATTGAGAAGTCTTGGCATTATGAGGATGATATGCTGATTTACATGAAAGAGTAATGGTTAGTTAGATACCAGCCACTGAAAAGGCTTGGCTTCTTTGCTAAAACAAGAAGAAAAAGAACAACAATTACAACAAATTACTGAAAAAATTCTGGAAAAAATTGTCATTCAATATGTCAGCAAAACTCAAAAGAGCTCCTATGAACTATATTTTAAAAGAACCTACTAATTCAGGTCTTAATTTAAAGTTGTTATAAAATCATTGGCATCAAGGCTATCACACAAATTTGCTTGTACCCAGAGGGCACAAACTCTGTCCCAAGCCTTGGAACAAGGCTATCCAATTCAAGCACTGAAGGATGTGTCAGGGAGGAGCAGGAGAGGGAAATGGAGGAGGCACTTTCTTTCAAGCAGTGATCTATTTGTTTACACCTCTGTTACTTGGCCTCAAAGTAATTAATTAAAGCATCTCATAATAAACAGCGACTGAGAAGCCAAACACAGATTATGCATAACAACCAACTTAATATCAGGGTGATCTTCCTCTTTAGGTGTCAAATAAAAACTGTGTCTGCAAAATAAGGAAGAGGAGGAGGAAGAGGAGGAGTAGGAGGAGAAGGAGGAGGAGGTAGAGGAGGAGGAGGAAGAGGGGGAAGAGGAGGACGAGGAGAAGAAAGAGGAGGAGGAGGAGAGGGAGAAAAAAGAGGAGGAGGAGGAAGAGGAGGAGGAGGGAGAAGGAGAGGAGGCAATTTCTTTCAAGCAGTGATCTATTTGTTTACACCCCTTTTGCTTGGCCTCAAAGCAATGAAAGTATCTCATAATAAACACCAACCAAGAAGCCAAACACAGATTAGACATCACAAGGTGAGCTAATCAATCTACCAGATCATGTTTGGTCCAAATAAACAAGGTCCCCTCATTACAGAGTGTCACACACAAGCATCACCCTACTTTATATCCTTCCGTCAGTAATTAGATAGTGACCCTGTCGGCCCACATTCTATCACTGGAGATCTACATGTACATGTACATGCGTATGAGTCACTATGAGGAGTGTTAGCCCACCATTTTTCAACTGTTTTCTAGTCACGTCACCCTTTTAAGAAATAAAAAAGTGTCACTGGACTACAATCCCACAGCTTGAAAATGATATGGATAATCTTCTCCATCTTAAAACAAAACTAATGAGATATGATGGAAACTTCATTTATAAAGCCTTTAACCTCCCACTTTTGATATGTATATGTTATCTTGATTTGTAAGATTAATATTCACAGAAACTGAACGCAATCAATAAATCAAAGCCAAAAATGTACGAGTAAAAAAAATCTTCTTAAAATTAACATGTATCAGGATGTTGTCCCTTCAATAAGAACAACAGTAGTGTCCTCACTCAGACTAAACAATCAACGATATACCAGTAGGTCTACATTATGTCACTATTTCTATGAAAAGGAAAACAGGAAGAGAAGAGAGTAAGTAATTTTTTTAGAAGAAAACAATTGTACGGGAGAAACCTACCTTCATTTCTCGGCCATTATTCATAAAATGTGACCAGCAGAATATTTTCTAAGGACAGTTTTGGTAACCAGATATATTCTTGGAATAAGTATATAGAGAATAGGTGAGTAAGCGCACGTAACATTCTTAGTAAAAAGAAATTCTCTCTCTCTCTATCTCCATTTTCTCTTTTCCTCTGCATATTATAATATAATATAATATAATATATAATATATATAATATATTTCTCTTTTTCTGAATCATTGACACTCTTTTTTTTTGTGTGTGTAAGTGTGTATCACCCCTCACCCTCCCTTCCTAGACCCAAGCTTTCAGTCTCTCTCTCTCTCTCTCTCTCTCTCTCTCTCTCTCCCTCTCCCTATCTCTTGAACTCAATACATCCCAGACGGGGCTGTAGTATGATAATCAGGGTGATGGAACTTATCATGCATCAGTGTCAACCAAACAAACTGCAGGACGTAGAATGGATCCTATTTCAGCCCGGTCTCCCCCGGTACATAAACGGCGTAACCGGACACCCCACGAGACCTCTACCACAAAGCACCCGTGATATCCTTTCCACACTAGCTCATTCATTATAGTGCAACTGTCCTCCCCTCATGATTGTGTATGTTATACCACTTTCCCACTGCCACGTTAATGGTCTCCCCCTTGTAACAGAATACGCACTTGGATGGAAATCAGACAAAATAACCTGCCCAAGAAAACCATGAATAACCCCACAAAAATGAAGTCTTCTGGAAAACCATTTAGCAAACGTAACCATTCCACAACAGCTCATTCATGTTGTATCGCAATCTTTTCCTCTTGAATGTATATGTTTCACCAATTTCAAACCGCCAATAAAATGGTATGAATAAGGGAGTTTACAGATAGCACATGACCCCAAATACCCACAGATCTTTTACACATGGAGAAGTTCCACTTTAAGCATATTAGAATAACAACTGCCAAAGTCCTAGATGTGCTTCTTGAATACCTTTTGCTTGCCCTCTTGAAAAGAATACTTCCACCTGCGTATCATAGAATGTACCGTTGGTGCATAAATGAATAATGTTAAATAACTTTCATGAGAGCATATCCAGTATTCATCTCTGTGGGTTTTACTTTTGGTACAAATGACCTTTATCTGCCCATGCGCAGATTGTATCTGTAAACTCCCTTATTCGTATCAACGGACACGAATTTGACGGGAACGTGTTTTGTTAGGCATATGAAAACGAACTCCTCTGGAAAACCTAACATCGCTTTATCTCAAGCTAAATCAAGTATGAAGAGTGCTATCATGCGAGATGAGTAAAAGGAAATTGTAGGGAATGAGGACCGACCGTGAGCTATGTGCTCAGCTGTAAACTCATCGGTCGACGTCAACTAAGATTCATAATTCATCCTTGACTCGAAGAATACATATAACAGAGCAGTGCCGATGCCACAGTATCGTGTACGTTGAAGATAATCATAATCACGATCCCCGTTATCTTAGGAAGATGTAGAACCATCCGATTTTGGACCTATTCTTCAGAAACTGATGTACATGTATACGGTGTACTTCTAATACTGTCTATAAATTGAGAGAAAGGTGATATCTTGGAATGACAAACGTTTAACAAGTCTAGCGGGATTTTTAACAATATTAAAATTTGGTTAAACAGCGACGCCATTTTGTTGATTTGTCTTCAAATTTACAAATTGCCAGACATGATAGTTGTTTCGCTACCAAGATCTTAAGCTCAACGGCGAGTCTTTCAAATTAAAAAATATACATAGATGAGTTGCCTGCGAAATTCCTGCAAAACGTTGAGAAGTTTTCAAGCTAAAATATTATATTTGATATTTAACATTTTTCATTGTCTTACAAGAGGAATGTTGACCTTTCTTTAAAACGTGTATTTTGTATTTATAGGCCTTGTAAGCGATGCACGCATGTGCACACCCACAAATAAAACTAAGCTGCAAAACATTTCTGAGAATTACGTGGTCGGACTGCAATCTTCAAGTCCATACCGATTTAAATTGACCAAATGTTCTAGAGACTGTGCAGAACACCTTTAAATGGAAACATCTTGATGGCGATAGCGTGTTTATCGTCCAGCCATCTTCCCCAGATGGTGAACTACAGGGATGGAAGCCTCTCTCATTAAGACGTCAAATTAGATCGATAAAAAAGAATGCGAAGTGTTTCTACACCGTTGGTCATTCGAAGAGTATTCACAGGCACGACTAGACTAGAACCACAAGGGATGTTAATGCATAGTGCTTTCGCACAGAGTTAAAGATGAAGTTGAGTTATGGTCATGCGATTGCATTGTGAAAGAAACGGTGTGAAATCGACCAGAAAAGGTTGATCATCTAGCATGTAAGAATTTGTGTGAATTTCAAGGTTCTGGAATCATCAAAATGATAAGAAATTTAGCCAGGTCTTGGTAAAGTTACAAACACTGTACACAGAAAGATGTATATGGGACTACACGAACACGTGGCGTAAAAATCCTACCCGGATTTTTACGATGTTACATGACATATTTAGAATATGAAGGCATTTGAAGAGCCATGCTTTTCAGGGAACATATCTGATGTTCTTCCACACTTGCATAAAAAGAATGATAACGCTCACAAATTATTTTTCACCTCTTCCCAGAACACAACCTTCTCTTTAATGCCCTTCTGGCTCTCAACCTGACGAGTGTACTTTTTCAAGACGAGAGCGTAAGTGACGTGAAAGGTCAATCGGCGCTAGAGGTCAATCGGATGGGTAGCCAACGTAATGAGTCGTGGACATGGTTATACTTATAAAATACATAGCTTTACGGTTTGACCTCAATTCCAAAATACACGGGATGAACAAGCTGTTTTCATATTGTATTTGTGTTTAATCTTATGTTGTCTGATAATAATTGATACTATTTTGTTAGGAAGTGATTCTACTTTTTTTTTTGTGTTTAATCTTATGTTGTCTGATAATAATTGATACTATTTTGTTAGGAAGTGATTTCTACTTTTATTTTTAAAATATGAGAAGGTGAACGCTACACATTGTTTATCAAAATGATGTATAACGGACGTTTGCTTTAGATCTTAGGCAAAAGTAAGAAATGTTCAAGTGTTCAAAAGAAAATGTAATTTTCCTTGATATCTCCTGAAATATGTTTTTTGTTAGTTACGGTTTTGAATAAGCAGAGAGGTAATAAATAAGTGTTTATTGCCGGTGTTAACATAATTATAGCTCAATCTCGACTCATCAAAACCCTTTCATTCGCCCTACATTCTAGCAAGATGTAAACTTTATAATCTATTCCTTTCTTTTTATCCTATAGAAATTCTTTTATTCCTTTATCCCCCGGCACGGACCGTCAAACACGCAAAGAATAATTAGACAAAGAATGGAGGTCGTTGTTGGCTATACATTATCCTTTTCACTATGCTCTAGTTTCGTCGACACTTAATGACGCGATTAATTGACTCGATTTTCTTGACAAATCCAGAAGTTTTTTTATTATTCAAAATAGCATTATTATAAGAATGAGTAAATAGAGCGAATTAATAAAATTGCGGTATAATAACGATTCGCCGAATTTACTATGAGATTTGGGTAGATGTATTCCAATTTGATTTTCTAATGCTGGTGTGATAATCGAGCCAATAATTTTAAGGAGTTATTTTTATCGAGATTCAGAGCAAATTTTATCGGGGCGTAACTCAGAATGAAACGACTCTGTTCATGTATAAATACGACCTTTCCATCAGTAGCTTGTGGGGGGGGGGAAGAGGGGGAACGTGCCCTGGTCGGTACTTTAAAGTGACGCCAACAACAACAAAAACGCCCCCCCCCCCCCAAAAAAAAAAAAAAAAAAAAAAAAAAAAAGAAAAAAGAGAAAGAGAAAAGAAAAATTACGATTTTATAATAGATAATACTAATCATACATCATACGCAGGTTAATTGAATTGAACATTATGGGTTTAAATTACTTAAAATTTTCTAAAGCTCGGCGGCTTTGCTTTCTCGCAAATTATTGCTTCAGGATCTCATAATTTCAGGGATATCAATTGAGGATATAGATTACAAATAGCGTTTTTTAAAGATTCCAAAATAAATTAAAAATTAAAAAAACCGGAGAAACAATGCTACATTGTTTGATTTCTAACAAATAAAAAGTGATTGTTTTTGTTGAAATATCCTCACAAATCTACTTAGCTTGAGTCACTGAGTCTAAAAGGAAGTCGTGTCTTTGGATTTATAAGAAGACAGTTTTCTCTCGTAGTATTGCTAATGATCGCAATGGCATGAGCTCACTGATCGCTTTAAAAGTCAAGAAGGGTCACTAGATAAATGCACCTGCCTAGTTGCCTTGCGAACATATCATGTTCACACTGCCGATAAAATCTTTAATTTCACAGGAAAGAGGATAAAACAAACTTGAAATAATAGCAATCGTACACTTTAATACAGAATAAGTCATTCTATTCACTTCAAAATCAATACCGAATGTATCATTCACTTGTCGTAGCTTCACGAGACAATGCAACTTTATCATGCTGTTACGGTTTTACCGATACCACCCTCGCTTGTTTACTGCGGAGGTTGTATTTTCAGTTTTGCGTTTAATTCGGTTCAAACTATTTCCAAATCCCAAGCAAAAAAATTAATTGTATCTTAAACAACTCAAAATATTTATAAATAAGACCGTAGCCACAAAATACTTTGGATTTCTTAATCATGTTACTTTTTGTAACTCATCTTGGAATACCTCTTGCATATTTCTTGCATATTCATAATAAATAATAATGAAATGTGGATTGAAAATATATATTACAATTTTTCAATCCCATTGTTTTGATTATTAATATAATAAGGGAAATTAATTGTCTATATTCCTTTATATTTATAATTCATCTATAAATTTTTGGCAAAATGTGAACTTTGCGACAGTGGTATCGCTCCGTCTCTATAAAGTCGGAAGTCTTTTCGAATTCCAAATTAATCTACGCACAGTCAAAATGTGGATAACGAGCTACGGGTGCTAAGCTCTGAGTGGGGTGAGAGATCTCAGTAAGTATCAAGTAACTATTCATATCAAGGGGGTGAAAACGGATGAACTTGACACTTTGTGGAATCCGCAGGGGAAAGGGCAAAGTTTGTTTGGTCATAATGAACGCTCTTGGGCTTTTCTTCGTTAAAGGGCAGTCATAGTTTATCCCTGCTTCGTGTCATGTTTCGTGTCATACTTTGTTGAAGGTAAAATGGGGTCAAGTTCAGACCTCCTTTTGTTCCATGCTTGACTCTTCACAGTACTTCGTATACTTCTCCAACTATTGAAGTTAGAGAGTGCTATTAAAAATATATCATCGTTGAGTCGTACGCATAGTCTTTAGTCTGGGTAATTTCGCTCTACGGTATTTTTGTTCGAACACGCAGATGAGTTCAAGGCAACAACAAACAATAATGAAATGAAATGATTTCATTGCAAAAATACCTCAATTATAGTTCTCCGACACATGACTGTCATAATTTTTCTACCATGAACAAAATATTCAGGAAAGTGGGTATGAACATTCTGTAGCGCTCATTCCAGTTTTGATTTTAAAGGGGGAAGAATGACGGAACTACACGATGTTGTTCCTTCAGTCAAGCAAGGCTTGCACAGTACATAAGTATTTTCACTTTCTTGGGAGTTACGTCCGTGATCACTTGTTTAGGAGTGAATGAATATCGATTGATTTTAGAGTGCTCTCTAAGAAGAAATGAGTAAACGTTCACTCTATTTTCACTACATTTTCACTTTTAGAGAGCAAACGGGCCAAAGGCTCGTCTAGATATGACGCAGTAAACAGCCGCAAAAAACACACATTATTGTGAATGAATGGCAACTGCGTTACTGCGCCAAAGTCAAGCGAGTTGCACTCTAGTTTAGAGATCATTACAAATTTGCCGGACTTGCCGCGTCATATATCTAAACAGTCCTTTCAGAAGCCTCCCGCATCGTCTTTGCCCCAACCAAAACCATGCATGGCGCCCCTTTTAAGAGAAAGAAAAAACCTTTAAAACCTTGGCTGCTATTCTTCGACGACAGAGGCGACCGACGTGGATCTTTCTGCTCCCGTCATTACGGGTTCAATCACTGTAATTCTCCCCGTGCTTTCATCTTCATCACACTTCCATAAATGGCTTTTCCAGAGACTCCTGCCGACGTTCCGTGTCCTGATGACCTTTTTTTTTCACGTGGGGCGACGTGTCTACCCCATTAGGGTTAATTTTAGAGAATTACTCGCTACTTTTCTTCCGAGTCTGGCGTTCGACTTGATCGCCAAACCATGCGACAGAGTTTGGTGATGTGTTTAGCATGGTCTACGTGGTATCAAATAGGAATATAGCGTGATTTTCTGCTGATACCATATACACGAAGCTACACAATCATATTCAGCAAATCTAAACAAAAATATGAATGTGTATATACATTTGTATATTTGCTTGGCATCTTAGAATAGTACAATAACACTCAAAATAAGTTAGATAAATCAAATTATTGAAATCAAGCATTTATTATCCATTCGCAAATTCGTTTTCACTGGTAAAAGTTGACAGATCAGTTTACAAAAAAAAAATTAAGACCTATATCATATCGTAATCATAGACAATTACAGAAATGATAAAATACAGACATAACATATTATAAATTATAAGGTATAACTATAATAAGTATTCTTATTAACAGTATTTTTTTTCATTTGTAGTCTCCTTTCCTTGTAATCCAGGAATCTATATATTATTTTCGAATAATTCGGGAAACAGCAGTTTTTTTATTTGTTTAAAGTTTCTATTGGAACATTCTTCACATTATTTAGATGATAACAAAGGGAATCTACAATACTCGCTCTTACGTCTATGGACAAACCACGTGAAAAAATGTCGCTGAAAACCTTCGTTTTCACATGAACAGCCCTTTGTAGAGTATCTTCAATAACAAAAAATAAAACATTACACTCATGTCTGTATCTCTGGCGATGTTCAGAGTCAAAAATCCATTATGAATGATAAATGTCGGTATTTTAGCAATACAATAAATGGCCCATGAAGTGACCTGAGGGATTGGTTATAGGATAAATAAGAGCAATATATTCCAAAATTGTCATTCCTTTTACTGTTGTTCGCTTTGCTACCCATACTGCAATCCACCCATTCAAAATTCATCATGACCCTATGGAACCCTTAAAATGCATTATGGTTTCTGGTTACAGTGTGCACAGTTCGATGGTCATCACAACACACACACACACAATAGAAACGCGTGCTACGCGTGCTGTGTTCTATACATACACGTGTGGCGCCTGCGAGCGAGCTACAGTAGATAGCAAAAATGCTCGGCGATGACGTCATAATGGGTGTATTGCACTGAAAAGCGTGAGTCACGGCAACGCCGTTATTCGGTCTCTCTCTCTCTCTCTCCATCTCTCCCTTTCTCTCTCTCTCTCTCTCTCTCTATCTCAGGTGATGTAGTTGGTCGAGTGGAAGGACTCACCATGACTACTGACATCATTGTGCCATCTTTGTCCGATGACCACTCAGAAGGCTTTATACAATGACGAACAATGAATCATTATTCTCGCTAGAAATAGTACATTTATTATTACGCACACACCGCTCCAAACATGTTTGAAATTGCATATTGCGCTGCATGGCTTCGAGATCTAATATTTCAGGAACAACTCGCTGTAAATACAATCTTACACCGCATCGGCTGACTTTATATATCATTCGCAAGGATTAAAATTGAGTTAGAGTAATAACAGTCACATATAATTATATTGTGTACGGGTACATGTGCATAATTGTGTATAGCGCTTATAAGTTAAAAGTGCTTTACGTTGTAATTAGTTCTTCATCAATTTTTGAATATTATGTTGCAGTGTTAGCTTTGTGTTCAGAAGATAGTCACCCACATGTGATTTCTAAGACTTTAAATCGTCATGAATTTACTTTTAAATCAAGAAGTCTTTGCGTGCGAGCTTTCTGTCCTAGAAAAATAAACCATAAACATTTCGAGACACGCAATTTTTGTTTTTCAAACAAATTCATAATTGATCTAGTAATCAAGTAATGCGATTGTAACAGAAAGTGAGCCACGTGTGAAACTAACGTTGGCACGTAATTAGATGTGTATTCATTTCCTGCCTGCATGCTGCTTGTATGTCTATGCTAAGTATACTTATTAGTCTTAATTACTGCAATGTTATTGTTTATATGAAACTGATTCATGATCCCGTATAAACAATAACATTGAAGTAATTAAGACTAATAAGTATATACTTCCCGTTGCCTGTAAATCTGAGTTACATGCACTTTCATATGTTCTTACTTAGCTGCTCAAGACTTCTTTCCTCGTTTGTATTATACAGCTGCTTCTCATTCCGTAGATTTTTTTTTTACGAGGGAGACTAATAATTGATTTGATTAAATTAAGATTAAAAACAAATCAGTTAATGATACATGCATGTAGGGCCAGGGGTAAACCCACGCTTTTAAACTTGGCACAAAAATGGGCACAATTCCGAGTGAAAAAACCATGACGTATAAGCAAATAAGGATGGTATATTATCACATTTTTACGTGCCTGTTATGGGTCGAAAATTTGAAAAGTGGAGGGGCCCATTTTTATTTTGTGCACTCCGTGTTCTCTTGAAAATGGGACAGGGTCCGTCAGTGTGTAGGGTTGCCATCGGCCACTAATCTTTGATCTTCTTGGTAATTTAAGTAATGTTAATTTGTTAAGTTATGTTATTAATATTTGTTTACTTGGTAATTTGAGTAATGTTAATTTCATTAGTAATATTGATTTTTCTTGAAGTAATTTTGATTTGTGTACAGCGCTTTGAAACTTTTATGTCACAAGCGCTTTATAAATTGTTCGTATTATTATCATTATCAATCCAAAGTATGCACGTTTTGATTTTAATAGTTGCATGACAAGGCCATGATGGTAATATAGGAAGTCCTTTGAGTCCTATCCTAATCTAGCTTTGTGGTCTTATGATGGTCTGATCATAACAAGCCGTTATGATTGACATTTTTCACAAATCCTACTGAGCTTCAGGATATCCACTTTGCCTTTCCAGATAAAACACGACAAGAATGGGCCATTTTACCAAAAGAATCCACCTTTCGAGGAGTTTATTGCTAAAAACGGTACAATATAAGCATTACACAAAATAATGATTAAACGAATTAACGACAATATTACGATAATACATTATTTTCAAATCGTTCTGGTAAAATACATTTATAAGGGCCATGATACGATAAGAAAGTAAAATAGTGTTCTGGTTTAGTTTAGTTTTTAAAATCTCTCTCATTTTTAAGTAAGATTTGTAAAATAAGAACTGCTGAAAGAATGCAAATAAAATTGATAGCGCTGAACGTGAGAGGGTATCAAAAATAATATCGTGTATAAAGAATCTTATCGTGATTACATTCGTATAATTGAAATATATGGAAGGGACAAGAAAAAAATAGCTCAAATGTTTTCCGCAGCTATCTTTTCCACCACATTTTCGATTGATGTGTTTTACCATGGACCATGGTTTTACGGACAACCTTTTACGACTTTTTGTGAGGAAGAAAGTGCAGAGAGCGGTCATACATTTTACATGGTTCGTGGAATAGAGTGGTTAGCCCAAGGAATTTGCTATGTTACTCTGTTTGCAAGTCGCATAATAATACTTACCGAGAACTTATATTTATACTGGGACGTATACAGAGAACTGGGACACACAAAACATGACAAACAAGAGTGTGTCTCATTGTATATGTATATCAAAATATTAATATATTACCAGTGTTATTCCAGGAAACTAAAGACGAGCCAATACCACTAACGTCATTCATGGACATACTCGTAAATTGCCCCCGATGTACTTTTGTCAACTTGTAAATGTGGTACAATGACTGGCAAACTTATTAATTCCACTTATATACTATTTCCGAGAAGATTTCCTAGCCGCAAACGTTTTTATGCTGTATAACTTTATGAAGTTGAGCATGTTAAATATGACTTGTAATTTGCACTTTGCAGACAATCTTGAACCAAGCGGAAAACAATGGCACTGTCATAATCGTTAAGAATCTTTTCTACTATAAGTGTATTTCAGCTAATGTTAGATATATATTTTACGTATTTACAGCAGAGAATGATTTCATGTCCTTTAAGTTTGCCGCTGCGCATAAAAATGGAATTCAATTGAATCCAGTGCCCTGTCCGGTCTCGAACGGTACACTTGAGCATCTAAATTTAAATAAATAAACATAACTACGCCATATTTCCATCTATGGTGTAGGTCCTTGTATTATAGTTTTGTTTTGTTTCTATTTTTCCTCCATAATGAGAAATTAATAGAGACAAGGCAGATCGCACTATATATATTCCCGTGAACGTCCATTCCTACTCCATCACTGACTCGTGATGCGCCTTGTATCATAATCAAAATTCCTACGCCAATATCTAAAAGCTCTCAATTGATATCATCGGGAGTTTGGCCTGGCAGAAAACGTCCGCTTAATCCATCATGTTTTATTCACTACATCAAATCTACAGCTGCTGAAAATATGGTGCGGTTGGAGAGGGCAAGATTATTTAGAAATTACAGAGGACAGAGGATCTCTATGCGAAAATAAAATAGGGCATATATACATGTACATGTAATCATCAAGGACCTATTCGTAGTAGGTGCATGATATCATGCTCTAAAAATGTTGACGGGGTCTTCTCTCCCCGGAAAACATCTTCCAAGGAGAAAGTCATAAAGGTTATACGGTATAGTGACATACGTCTGTGTGTACACATCATAATTAGAAGTACATTAATATGATGTAATTTATGTTCTTAAAGTGAACTGAAATATACAATTACCTTCGTTTACGCGTATATTTATGTATTTATATCCATTTTTTGGAGGAGGGGGTGTTCATCCCCCCCCCCCCCCTGCTTGAATGATTTGGCAATAAATGGCAATAATTCTTCATCCCCTCCCATGTTGGTAATGGGCGGCAGTCTTTCTCTGTTTGCTTTGGGATAATGTTGTGTTGATTTATTCTTTTATTAACAGTTTTGTTTGTTGTTGTGTTGGAGTTTTGGGGGGAGGGGGGGGGGGGCAATAAACAAAAAGCAATTAAACGTATTCAAACGCAAGCCGACGCCATTTTTAATCCGGTACGAATGATCCGACGATTAGCCATAACTATTCGCGGTCGCTCTCCTATCGCACCCCCCCCCCCCCCACCCACTTCAGTGATTGAAGCAGACAAACGGACTCGACGTCCCATGTGGCTACTTATAAATGACCACTTGTCTCAGATTGATTTTTCACTTTAAAATCATTCATTGCACAAGAGACGAAACAAAACAATGCTACCATGAGTATACGACGCCTGCCAAGTTTGATCAATACATTAGGGAAAAGAAAATGAGTATTTAATAACTGCGCTCGAGATCGATATGGCCTATTGGACAACTTAAACCATCATGGTGTACGAAACATAATCATATGTGTTTTTAGCATTACGGTCAAACGCAACTCGAAAGGGTAGCTCTTGCGTCATTTCCCCTGGATATATTTCGTCAAAGATGTTACTTGTATATTTAAAAAAAAATTATGAAAAAAAACGGTGCTGTTAGGGTTACAATATTGAGTGTTAGGTACGGATCTGGGTTCGGGAAAGTGGTTAGGGTTAGGTTTGTTTGGTGAAAGGTTGATACGAGTAATTTATACAGGATATAAACGCGGGACAAATTTTGTCCCCGGGGCGCGTGTCATATACCAAGGAGCTTCAAACACATAGCTCCTTGATCGTGCAACCCTCTAAACATCAACGGCAAAAATACTTTCAACCAATCAAAATCCGATAATCATGATGATTTTCGAACGAGTGGTGTGGTCCGCCTTGATCGGGGGATAAAAGAGGGCTATGTGGCTACCGGTCGAGGGGTGAGGATTGATTTATTGTGGACACAGGTGAAAAGATTCCGGTATAGGTCTGCAATAGTATGACGGGTGAAACAAACCTTTTACGCGGAAACAGCGGCGTTGATACGATTTCGTTCTCCCTGTAATTATTTATAAATACTCCGGAAATGTAATAGTCTAGCTAATGCCAACATAATTATGAAAAACGAAAAACTCTGGTATAAGATCCTGTAGAACGATTCAAACACAGATATGTTGCCATGAAGTGAGATGAATTTTAATCTAAATAATTCAGAACAGATACGTTGTAAATCGAGGAAGAATATATAACTTTTGAATGCTATACAGAGTATTTTGCGACTAGGAAAAAAAAGCTGATTATGAAACCGTAATTGTTGATTGATCAACTTGGCATTAACACTATTAGTCTGTGGACTGTAATGTAAGTTATTCCATTTTTTTGTTTTTAAAACAGGAATAGTGCATGACCCAGGACAAAGAAAATATCTGACGATTATTTTTGTC